CCCCAGCATCTCCTGCTACAGTGTCCGGGCAAGGCACCGCCCGCTCCTCCTGCCAGGGGGACCAGGGAGGGCGCCGAGGGACCCCACAGTACCTGTGTACTCGGGGAAGCAAATGGTCAGGGGGCTGTGCACGATCTTCTCCTCAAAGAGGTCCTTCTTGTTGAGGAAGAGGATGATGGACGTGTCCGTGAACCACTTGTTGTTGCAGATGCTGTCAAACAGCTTCATGCTCTCGTGCATCCGGTTCTGGCAGGGGAGACAGCAGCCTGAGCCGGGCAGGGACCCCCAGGCAGCGCCCGCCCCACTGCTGCCCAACCTGCTGCCCCCCCACCGCTCCTGCCTGCCCAGGCAGGGGATGCCGAGGGCCTTGCAAGGCTTGGGCCATGCTGGCCAGGGCACTGGTGGCCACCAGAGGAGGGGGTGCTCCCCCAGCCCCCCAAGGAGAAGGTGGCTCACGGCACCGGGCTCCATCCCCCCCCAACTCACCATCTCCTCATCTTCAGCCAGCACCAGGTCGGTCGTAGGCACTCAGGGCCACGCAGAAAATGATGGCAGTCGCCCCCTCGAAGCAGTGGATCCACTTCTTCCGCTCCGAGCGCTGGCCGCCCACGTCGAACATCCTGGGCAGGGAGACAGCATGGCGGTGGACAGCAGCTCCTGGCCCCACTGCCCTCGCCCCGCTCCCTGCCTCAGTTTCCCCGGCTGCCCAGAGAAGGAGCTGCACCAGGAAAAGGCGCTGGGATGGGCAGAGCGCAGCGCCTCTGCCCCAGGGGTTTTGCTGGTGCCATGGATCTGCCCCGGCACCCGCTACCTATCACAGGTGGTGTCTGGGCTTATTTCCCAGCTGGAGAAAACCCCCACCATGAGCCAGGGCAGGATCAGGCCGCCTTTCCCAGATGGGAATGCTCCCTGGAGCCAGGCTCCAGGAGATGCTCTCGGAGACCCGCTCTGGAGCAGGCACTGCGGGGTTTTGCTGGAGACCTTGGGCCAAGGGGAGCCGCGGTGCCTGGCCGAGCAGCTGGGGGCTCAGCGGGATCGCGGGCAGCACGAGGGCTCAGGGGATGATCCTGGTGCACCACGCGCCTCTCCTGCTGCAGGCAGCAGGGGA